AGACTCCAACTCAAAAAAAAAAAAAAAAAGAGATGCAGTTTCACCAAGTTGCCCAGGCAGGTCTCAAACCGGTAGGCTCAGGCAATACTGTCACCTCGGCTACCTAAAGGGCTGGGATTACAGGCGTGACTGAATCTGTTGATTAAGGACGCCCCCACACACACTCCCAGTCTCCATTCCCTCATCCATCTATCCGCCTGTCTATATTTGAGTCGGGGTCCCCCTGTGTTGCTGGGGCTGGAGTGTAGTGACACGATCCCAGCTCACCGCAGCCTCGAGCTCCTGGACTCAGGCCATCCTTCCGCCTCAGCCTCCCGAGTAACTGGGACTATAAGCATGCACCACCATGCCCGGCTCCTCTTTAAATTTTTTTTGTAGACACAAGATCTAGCTATGTTGCCCAGGCTGGTCTCGAACTATTGGGCTCAAGCAATCCTCCCACCTCAGCCTCCCAAAGTGCTGGGATTACAGGCGTGAGCCCCCACACCCGGGCCCCTCATCTGGAAGACACAGAGGGCAGGCTGAGGCTAGAGGGGTGCAGAGGGGGACCTCCCCACCAACATGGTACCTTATCTGGGAAGGCATCGAAGTTTGTGCGCACGGGATCGCGGCAGCCGAACTTGGAGGACTTGAAGCGACGGATGATGTCCTGGAGGGTGGCCGCCACCACGAAGTACTCCTGTTTCAGCCGCAGCTCCTTCCCCTCGAAGAACTGAGGGCAGTGGAGGCGGGGTGAGTCAAGGTGAGAGGGACACGGCCTACAGAGGTGAATGTGGCCAGGAGAGACTCCCACCCACACAGGGACCCTCGGGGACCCAGGAGGAGCAGCGACAGAAAGGGGGACACAATGGCCAAGAGTCGGGTGGGTGTCGCCAGGGTGCAGTCCTCTATAAAGTGCCCTTCCCTAGCCGGCTTCCCTCAGACCCGGGTGTCCTCCCACTCAAAGGACTTGGGTGGGAGAGTGGAACCCACAAAGCCAGCAATATGCCCTGGGTGTGGCTAGGGCACGGGCAGGTGTTCCCCCCAGCTCTCCCAGACCCCTCTCCCGAGGACTCAGGCTTCCCGCCCCAGCCCAGCAGGTGACGCACATTGTCGTTGGGGTACAGGACACGTGAGATATTCTCTGCCAGGTTGCGGTCCAGCACGGCCTGGATGTAGCCCCCGACGTTGACTGAGGGCAGAAGTGGGGACAAGGTCAGGCCTGGGGCGAGGCACGGCTGGTGCGTGGGCTGCGGCAGCCCGCCCCCCGTGGGTGAACTCACAGTCCTTGAGGTTGAAGTCATTGGGTGCCTTGGCAGACCAGAGGCGCATGGTGTTGACGATGTTGTTGCGATAGCCAGGCACGGGCGTGTCGTAGGGCATGGCCAGTACCACCTGCAGGGACACTCAGCATCAGGGACGGTCTGCCAATGCCATCGGCCCTGACATCTGCCTGGGTCTGACCCGCGAGGTCCCCCTCCCTCAGGGCTGGGACTCAAGGTTTTGTCCGGGCTCTGCGGACTCCAAAACCCGCCCCAGTCCCACTGTGCTGGAAATCCATGAACAAATCCCATAACCTCTCTGGATCTCATCTAGAGAGAGGACGCCCCCCACCCTCTCCCCAGATGCCCTTAACCCCTGCCTTGTCAGACTCTAATGGCACTATGGACGGAGGCAGAGTGGCAAGATCAGGTTCAAAGTGGGGCTCTGCTGATGGCCAATCTGTAGGGATGGGGCTGGACTGGGCAGCCTGGCCCGAGCAAAAACTAGAGGACACGTTGGACACACCAGAGAGCTAGGGAACCCAGGGTCAGGCTGAAGGGGCTCAAGTTCACCCATAGGTCTCATGCTGGTTGACCAAAGGGTCAATGTGCAGTGACTAATGGTGCCCACCTCCCACATTCAGCAAACATCAATGACTGCTGTCCTGGTGGCTCTTCCCGACACTTTGGGAGGCCAAAGCAGGAGGACTGCTCGAGCCCAGGAGTTCGAAGCCACCCTGGGCAATATAGCAAGAACTTGTCTCAACAAAAAACTTTTGAGCCGGGCTCCATGGCTCAGCCTGTAATCCCACGCCTTTGGGAGGCTGAGGTGAGTGGATTGCCTGAGCCCGCGGGTTCGAGACCCACCTGGGG